ACAAGGCGGCCCTGAAGTACAAAATCTCTGTTCCAAAGTTCTTCGCATCAGCTCGAATTTGATAAATTAGATTTTTCTTGTTCCTTATTTGGTCTGAATTCTTCTAGCCACAGCTCGTGTCAAATGGGTAATAATTCATAGATAAATCCGTGACGATTTATCATGCTTTTTTCAGAAAAGAGCTGACCAAAACATACTCAACAAGTGTCACACGTCTTCAGAAAACTTTTTGCTTTTAGATGGGTATCACCATATTGTTTAACCTGTTCATTGTTTATAATATATATTAGAGATGTCCACAGGACAGTTTTTTCGAACCTGCACTGTTCTGCCCTATTTGCAGAATAGAGTAGAGCAGGGTATCTGCCAGGACAAAGGAAGTACCAACATCATATCATTGATATATACAATCAAATGCCGATATTTACGTATCAACATAGTTAAGTAATAAAAGAAGTATGGATGACAACAAATAAGAATAAATCGTGATTTCATGCATAAAAAAGTTTAAAAATCAGATTCAAATTGCATTGATCCGTTAGATGGATGAAAATGAATCTTAAAATCGACAGTAAAAGGCTAAAGATCAGATTTTAATCAGATAAAAGTAGTACGATTTCAATCGATTTTTAATGAAAAAAAACAACGAATTATAATCTGATGTTTTCGACATTTTGGTACATGACGTGTGAGAAGGATATAGTAAAGAAAAATACATATATTCAACTTTTTCTAATTATATCTGAATTGATTTCGCAAACATCCTTTTGTTGACATCATCGCGTAGCATATTTTCTTTTTCTTTTAGTATACATTGTCGTAATTGATTGATTATACCTGATAGAGTAGCTGTAGCAGTAGAAATATCTGAGAAAGAGTTCGTACTATTACTTTGAATACTCAAAGACGAAGAATGAATATTATAAAATAAATTAACATGACTTAAAAATATATTTAGATTACCGTAACTCTTTCTACTAACGCTTCGTTTGCATTGTTTTTCTCGGAATACACATCCCTCATAAATATTCGATAGTCCTAAGTGTCTTCTGATAACTACATTTGTGTTACTTTCTCCCTTAGTTCAAAAATGATCTTCGAAGGAAACCACAACATTTGCTTTAAAAATAAAATTTCGTCTCTGAAATTTGCAGGGCACAAATTTTTAATTGACCCTGCCCTGTGGACATCTCTGGTATATATTCTATCATTTTGACGATAATATACATCGCCAATATAAAAGTATTTTGCTAAGAAAACAAAAGTTTCATTCTGGATAATATAAAAAAAATTTTTCTTCCCGAAATTTCAAAACAAAGACTTCTTTATTTTTCAGTTGCCATACGATTTAGTATGACAGATTTATGTCATGATCTTACATTAGGATCATTTCTCATCACTTGACGTATAGCTCTTATGGATAGATACATTAAATGAGTTGATCCGCTTTCTTGTTGATTTCTTCTAGCTTCGCAAACGATATTTTTGGATCAATCATTTGAACCTGATTTTACTCGATTCGTAATACGTTCTAAGTCATGTATGGGCAATGGTATTACTATTTGAACCTATAAATTTACTCGACACTAGTTGGTTACACAAACCATGTTTCTGCAATCGAAGTGTCATCCTTATTTATGTATTCATTATTCATGATTTTTCGAACAAACGAAGAAAAATTCACTGTCTCAGCCATTCATAAATTTTTAGAACGAGAAGTTTCTATCAATCGCACATACAATGAGTACTTTGAAACATATGGAAGGTGAATAAAATAATAGAACAGCGATCGACAGTGTTATGTGATCTACCCATTAATAACTTGACACAATGGGAACCAATGAACACATTTTAATTGAAAACTAGCTTTTGATAAATAGCCGTTAAGATGTATAGTCAGCACAACATAGCAAAAAATAATTTTCGGTTGCGAGAAACTGTTTTTGGTAGTCCTCTAGAGAGCTTTTTTCTAAGTTATGGATTGACTACGTCCCTAGGAGCGTGTTGGAAAATAGTCACGAGTCAAAGAGATAAATTGCAGATGAGGTACTTACTGTCAAACGAAATCAAGAAATAAGACAGGTGAATCGTGGTAGATAACTAATGTGAAGATTGTTATTGTTATTGTTACATCATCTAGAAGAATAGTAAAGGACATGTATATGTGTCATAAGTTGTTATCAGTTCACTTTTTTCAACGTGCTTCTTTATTGACTGAGTGAGAAGATCGATACCACGAGTTACGAAAAAAATACCCATTTTCTTGTTTTCCTTGAACAAATACCAGAAACAACATGGTGGAGGGAAGAATGAAACCGATGGCAAGAAAATACGCAACAGAAAAGGGTACAATAGAATTCATCTTACTCGTATATTATTACTGTATTGTTATGCTATTCTCAATTTTACTCTCAAAAATGACAAACAATTTTCTTTCTTCATTCTACTATTCGAGCTTCTCTTAATAATTAATGGATATTGAAAAAGGTTCTAATCTTCCTTGATTGTTATTATAAGTAATAATGATCCCACCAAGGAATCGCTAGAAGAATACTCAACAGTATTATTTTACGACAAAGCAGTCCTTGAGTCAATGTTGTCAACATTTGTCTTGCATAAAAATGTTGCCCGCCATTCTTTCTCTATGGCACGTGCTTCGAGAGTATGAAATGAATGAGACGCGATAAAAGCTAGATATGTATCATTCAATAGCCGTTTATGTATTGGTCGATGAAAAATAATGGATGTTGCTGCCGGTTCCGTTGAAAATGAAAGTAACATCGAAGATTTCACACTCATTTAGCTTGGTACCTATGCAAACGAGAGCTATTCCGGAAATTTGACATATCTGCATGGTCATAAGTCAGAACTCAAGTGAACTATCGTGGCGAAAATTTTAAGTCCATTGCATGAGATCTTGTTGGATTTCAAGTCATTTGCATATTTGAACGCAGCGTAGTGTTCATGAAGAATAGTTGAAGCATTTAGAATAGCAAATAGTGATGTTTTTTTTATCAATTTCATTTTTTCATAATCGATCTACGTTGTCAATAGAAAAAATTTCATCAAAATAAGATTTTGAACAAGTTCATCTATCATCATCAAATAATATCAACAGCCCAGCTGCAACTCTTGCAAGTGAATCAAGGTGAACTCGTCTCGATCAATACAATATTTTTCGATAAGTCTATCGAACAATGTAGCAATGACTTTCAGCAGAGACGGGATGATATTATTGTTATTCAAATTAGAGTATCCGAAGTCAATTTAGGATTAGGCAAAAGTCTGAGTCAACTATTGGCTAATGTGAAAGCTTCGAGTTCAATGCCCCAAGAAGATAAAATACTTTTTTGCAGTGGCTCTATTTTTCGCTTCAATTTAGTTTACTACGATGTTTTTCTGCTTAGCTGTTGAATATAAAGCCTATCAATGATCCTGATCAGACATATAACTTTTCGACTTTTCAATAAGCAAATGAATATGAAAGAGATCCCAACATGGTTAATCATAGGCGAACTCGATCATGCTGATAAATATTTTTGGTTTACATTTCAAGAGTTTTCAGATGAACATCAACGTGTCGGGAAATTTTTAAGCAGTATTGATCTATTGTTTTTTTTGTAAAAGGGCTATTTGAATATGGGACGACAACAATTAGATAAAGCGCTCGATTTTGGCTAAATATACAACGATTTGACAGCTTTTTCTTCTTAAATATGAACGATACAGAGCGTGCATTGGAATAAATCGTTTTCTATGTATATCAAGAGTACGATCAAAATGCAAAATGGTATGAGTGTAAGACTTCTTCGTAATCCTCAATACTCATACCCACACTCATCCCCATCCATGCCGATGTTCCATAAAAAACAATGAAATTAGGTTCATAGTTCCTGAATATGACACCAGCACTTTTTCACGATATAAGATACTTGATGAAAAAAACTGACTTTAAATCACCCGGCTCCCACAACGACAGCACATTATTAATTTCAACTTCAGATCCAAACTAGAAGACACATTTCATTTTGTCAACAACATCTTCGACTGATCGAAATAGTGAACTATCGACAAATATGTCTAGCACTTCAGCAACCAATATGACTGAGCTGATGTCTTCTCAGTCGTCTCATACACTGGTAAAAAAAAGGGTTTATGAATTTGCAACCGCACATGAACGCTTTTTTCTGTTTTTGAAATATCTAATAAACCATTTTTTCAAATCATAAAAGGAAAAAAAAGTTTTTTTTGTGCCGTTGCCAAGTCATAAACCTTTTTTTCGTTCATTATTCAGTGGATTTTTTTAGTATAGAAATAGAAAATGGAAATGCTCCCAGTTGTGTATGGTAATTGTTATGACTATATTTGTTTTTTTCTTTTTTACTGTTGATAACTGAATAAGCATCAGCGACAGATGATATAGTCCGGTATATTCCATCTGCAAATAGTACCAAAAGAGAAAAGAAAAGAGGAAACAGAAAGGATAGATATCCCACAATAGAAAGCAGAGCTAGAATTCATAACTGCTTTAATTCAGATATATCTAGAAGATGATGAAAGTAGTAGAAAACAGAAATAGAAATATTTCTAGTTGTGCTTAGTGATACATCTTTAAGCAACATCAGAAATTATAGTAACTATCATCACCATATCTAGGTTTTGTTGCCCTTGATAGATAAATAAGTATTAGCGAAGAGATATGTATATTCTTATATGCATATATTCCATGCACTAAAAAAAATAAAAGAGAAGAAGACGAAATGTTTCATTATAGATCAGATTCCAGCAAAGTGATATACAACACTAAGAAATATTAATTCTGTTTCTGTATAAGCGTATTACTATCAGTAACTACATTTACAAATAGGAAGTTATATTATTCATCGCCGTATTCTGGTTTTCATTGGATTTGCTTTTTATCACTTCTGTATAGATAAGAATTCGGAAAAAGTTAAACAGCTTACACACGTGCAAGAACACTTACACAATATCATATAATAATGAAAATTACCGCATTGTTGAAAGGTTTTCTGTTCGTTGTATCGATAATTTTAACTATATTTGTCCCACCAACATCATGTTTGAGTTGTCCATCTGGCCCAATAACAGTTGGAATGTGTGGATGTTGTAATCGTGATGGAAAGAAAAATGAAACTTGCCATACAGGCGATGCTAATCTTATGATAATGTTTCTTGGATATGGTGTTTGTGTACCACTAGCAGATTTAAGTTTCTTTCCATCATATTATTTGTGTGAACATCGACAAACTTATGAAGGCCAGAATTACTGCCTAGTCAGAGCTAATAATCGTAATTACATATATCCGATGTATGAGTTTTGTTCAACTAAGTGTATTGATTCAATCATTTATCATATGGATACGAATAAGTTAGTCAAACCAAGTAAAAGTAAGTTTTTTTTCTGTTTGTCTCTCTTATGTAGCTGATACGAATCTATATGACCATCATCATCGATAGTTCGATGCTTTCTTTCACATAAGTTACTAATTGCGGAGGAGTCAAAGAATAGTTATCTGGTTTATTTATCCTTCATTCCACTTTAAAATTCAAAATATTTCCACTGTGAACGCCCACCTATCAGATGTAGCACAATCATTCAGAAATACAAAAGTCGTCTTCTCGAAATAGTTTTGCAGATTAATTTGCTAAATTGAAGTTTATATGGTTAGAATCATTTTTCAAAAGATACTTGATGATTTTCAACACTTATTACAGCACTACGTGTATTAAAATGATCCTTTGAAACTTCAATCCAAAGAGTCTATGTTTATATAGCTCGAAAAAATAGCGTTGATTTATCATCTCGATCACTTATTTAACAGTAGATCATATCCAAACATCCAAAATAATAAGATACATCGTAATGATTCATAGATTCGTTGTTTTTATATGAGCAGTAAATTGTCTGTGGATAGGCTGTAAATGCTTGAGTTTGTATCGCTTTTGTATCTGTTGACAACCGATGATTCACTTTCTCTTATCAGAAAGCTGACAAGACAGAAATTACACTTTAAGCTTTCGAATCGATCTACCAAACTCATTTCAGAAGGAGACAAACTGAAGATGGATCTGCAACTTAGCCTAAGCTAAATCGAGCGAGCAAATTACAGATCATTAAAGAAGTTCTGCCATTACTGTTGTACTAAACGTAGTCTTAGACGACCTTCACTATGAATAATCAAGGCCTTTGTATTAGATGCTCGATTTTCTAAACTCTAGAAGATATCTTATGAAGGATGTATCACATTTTTTCGAATACGATCTGGATAGTGATCAACAATTCCAGGCAACCATGTATCAATGGGATGTGAAAAAATGCCGCAAAAACTTTCTAAAGTTGTTCCAAAAATCAGCAAGATTTTCTAACAAGATAAAATTAAATTGAAAGACTTGGTGACCAGAAAAACTATGATAACACCATTTTTTATTTTTATTTATTCCTTTTAAGTAGTATCCTGCTTAAACGAGAGGTTAAATGTCATCATTGTATTGTTTTCGAGTTTTGAGTGTTGGAAATATAACTTTGAAATGATAAAGTGTTCTCTTAAAGTTTGGCTTTTTACCCGCTTTTAAGATTCTAGCAGCCTACAAAAATGTATGATCATGCAAGTCCATGAGAGCATTCTTTTATCTTTCTAGAGTGTATGGAACCTACATTATTAGTTATAGTTCCGAAATGTTTCCGACCATTGAGAACTCGTATCGACTTTTGCTCTTTTTCCGCGGTACTCTTCATTTTTATTTTTTTTTACTTTTATGCAGTTAAATTCTTTTTCAGAACTCAAGACAACCCATAATCTTCTGAGCCCGCGCAAACGTATACAGATAAAAACTGGTGGCTCAGGTGAAAAATTAAAATTATCACAAGTATATAATGATGTTGTTGAATTGATTGTCAAATGTGGGCTTGCAGCTGGGAGTCCTAAACTGTTAGCCAATACTAATTTTCATTTGATGCAATCCAACGATACTACAACTGCTAGTTTTAATGGTGTATTTCAAACACCAATGAAAACTATGACCTGGCCTACGACAAAACCAATTCAAGTAAATCAGATTAATATTGATACATTGTCGAATCATATTACTTGCACAAATATACAATTACAATATCTCACCTGTGAGTAGCAGTTGTCACTAATCTCCATTAGTAAAGATTCACTTGTTGTTTTTCTTCTAGCTGCTCAGTCGAAGACGAAACCAGCGGTCTCCACAAATCCAAAACTTCAAAAGTCTTTAAAACGCTCCAAATCACTTCAATAAACTTCTAATACTTTATAAGGCTTTCACAAACTTCAATAAATGTCAAAACGTTCAAGAAACTTTGACAACTGTGTCGAATTTCAAATATATCTTAAAATCATTATTTATTATTTTATTATTTATAGATCATTAAAATCAATAATAACTTCTTAAACCTAGCAAAATGATGTCTTTTTGAAAGTTTTTTGTCTACATGCTTATCATTGGAAGGTCGGAAGCCAACGCAAATACTTCTGAGGACATTATTCTTCTCCCTATCGGCATTTCTAGAAGGTTTGAAATTGAACATGTCTTTTTCTATTGTAAAAATTAAGAAACTAAACGTTAATATTAAGGGAATATTCCATTCAAGCAACTCACGAGGGAACATTCCCAACTGTCACATCGCTTTTGAGTCAAGCATATAGGCATCATATAGGCCCTAGTGATCTATGAATCCTCTGAAAAAAGTTCGTGCTGCTAGTTTCTTACTGCTGAGA